ACTCACAGCATAAAAAATATTCAATAAATATATTAGTACAAACGTCCATTCAATATTTTTCTTGAGCCTTTCCTGAAAACCTCGAAGACTCTGAGGTTCAACTGTGAAAGAAATGTTCTGTTTGTACAACAAATGTTTGACTCTTTCATTTACATTTCCATAAAAGTGCAGCTATACTCTACTTTGAATTCATTAATTGGTTTTGCGTATAACAAGCGATTAATCACGATTAATCGCTCAAACTCATGCGATTAATCACGATTAAAACATTTTATTTTTGCCCAGCCCTAAATAAAACATCAGAAGACCAGAGGAAATGTCTTTGGACTATATAGTAGATCTGTTGGTGGAGCGTTTGTCCACTGATGCCACAGAAACATCACTGGTTGAGCAAAAACAACACAATTAAAGTTTTATGTGTGGAAGAAACAACATTATAACATAAACTAGAAAACAGTGCACTAATGTTTCTCTTTGGTCTCTTTTCGGTGTTTGAGTGAAAAAAAAAAAGCGAGACAAACTGTAAAACTGTTATTCGAGGGGGAATTATTTAACAGCACAAATCAGCTCCTCTGTTGCGCTTCACTTCTGCGTCTTATTGTAAAACAAAACTCGGATTAAAGTCTAACAGACCTGCAGACGGCTCAGTGCCTCCGGTTAGCGCCACAGCCCGAGAGAATCTGACGACAGCGGCTGCAAAGTGCCAGAATCTCCGTCCGTCCGTCCTTCGTTACAGCGGGTCCCTGGGCGCGGCCGAGCGGCGCTGGAGACTGTGACATTTCCTCTGTCGAACCTCCTGACCTTTATTCACACAAGAAATCAGCTCCTCTCACGGTTTAAACAGCTCTCGTTGGCCCTTTACACCGGAACCGCTCGTCTCTCGGCCCGTCTCTGCCTTCACAGCTCATTTTAAAGGTCTTCACAAACGGAGAACGACGTGGGTTTAATACAGTTTTATCGTAAAAAAAAAACCAACACAAAAGTAAAGGTCTGCAGTGTCAGGATTGTGCGTCTGTTTGTCGTCTCAGCTCAGTTACGACGTTAATGTCACCAGCTTTTCTTCATTGAAATGTCGCCTGGAATGTTCCGCAGCACGGCATTACGCTTACACTGGGCTGAGTTACACGTCAGATCTGTGGAGAGGCGAGCCCACGCACAGCAAGAATGCAAGTTTTTACGTCAATAAAAACTCATTATTTCCTCATTATTTATTGAGTAAATGCTAATGTCCTTGTGTAGTCCTTGTTTAGTCCTGATTTAGTCCTGGTTTTGTTCTTGTTTAGTCCTGGTTTAGTCCCAGCTTAGGCCTAGTTTTAGTCTTGGTTTTAGACTTGGTTTTAGTCTTGGTTTAGTCCTGGTTTAGTCCCAGCTTAGGCCTAGTTTTAGTCTTGGTTTTAGACTTGGTTTTAGTCTTGGTTTTAGGTTTGGTTTAGTCCTGGTATAGTTCTGGTTTAGGCCTTGTTTTAGTCCTAGTCTTAGCACAAGGTTTAGTCCTGGTTTGGTCCCAATTTAGTCCTAGTTTAGTCATTGTTTAGTTGTGGTTTAGGCCTTGTTTAGTCCTGGTTTAGTCCCATCTTAAGCCTAGTTTTAGTCTTGGTTTTAGTCTTGATTTTAGGCTTGGTTTAGTGCAGATGTAGTCCTGGTTTAGTTCCTGTTTAGGCCTGGTTTTAGTCTTGGATTTAGTCCTGATTTAGTCCAGACTTAGTCCTGTTTGGTCTCTGTTTAATCCTTGTTTAGTTCTGGTTTAGTCCCAGATTAATCCTTCTTTAGTTGTAGTTTAATCCCGGATTTGTCCTTGTTTGGTCCTGGTTTAGTCCTGGTTTTAGTCCTAGACTTAGTGCAAGGTTTAGTCCTTGTTTAGTACCGGTTTAGTCTTGGTTTTAGTCTTGGTTTTAGGCTTGGTTTAGTCCTGGTTTAGTCCTGGTTTAGTCCTGGTTTTCGTCCTGGTTTAGTCCTTGTTTAGTCCTGGTTTAGTCCTTGTTTAGTCCTGGTTTAGTCCTGGTTTAGTCCTGGTTTAGTCCTTTTAGTCTGGTTTAGTCCTGTTTAGTCCTTGGTTTAGTCCTTGGTTTAGTCCTGGTTTAGTCCTTGTTTAGTCCTGGTTTCGTCCTGGTTTAGTCCTTGTTTAGTCCTTGTTTAGTCCTTGTTTAGTCCTTGTTTAGTCCTGGTTTAGTCTGGTTTAGTCCTTGTTTAGTCCTGGTTTAGTCCTTGTTTAGTCCTGGTTTAGTCCTTGTTTAGTCCTGGTTTCGTCCTGGTTTAGTCCTTGTTTAGTCCTGGTTTAGTCCTTGTTTAGTCCTGGTTTAGTCCTTGTTTGTCCTGGTTTAGTCTGTTTAGTCTGGTTTGTCCTGGTTTGTCCTTGTTTAGTCCTGGTTTAGTCCTGGTTTAGTCCTGGTTTAGTCCTTGTTTAGTCCTGGTTTAGTCCTTGTTTAGTCCTGGTTTCGTCCTGGTTTAGTCCTTGTTTAGTCCTTGTTTAGTCCTGGTTTAGTCCTTGTTTAGTCCTGGTTTAGTCCTTGTTTAGTCCTGGTTTAGTCCTTGGTTTAACTTGATTGGATGTGCAGTGTTTCTGTTTGCTGGACTCACGCTGCTTGTGTTGTGATCGCGCTCTGAAGGGGGAGTGACTCAGCACAGGGTGAAAAGGGAAGGCGGCATTTAGAGGAAAAGCGTTCAGGGTCAAATAAAGTTGTGGATGGACACGTTTAATGCCACACCGGGACATTCCAGACAAAGCAATAACATCTCGATGGAGACAAGCAGAAATGTTACGCAGTGCAGCTTTAACTGCACTGAGTGAACCAGCTTTGATATTTGTGGCTGCTACTATTTCTAGACTAAATATAAATGGACTTTTTGGAGAGTTTTGCGCTGTTCCCTCATCAAAAACCTGCCTGAAGAGGTTTAACGGTCATCCATGCATGTTTAAGTAATCTAGTGATCTCTCCCGGGTCCTAAAACCCTCCGTACGAGGCTCCGCCCACAAGCTGAACCAGTAGTTTCATTGGCGGGATACGCACTGATTGTGTTGTGATAGTGCTCTGAAGGGGGAGTGACTTAGTCCTGGTTTGGCACAAGGTTCAGTCCTGGTTTAGTCCTGGTTTAGTCCTGGTTTTGTCCTTGTTTAGTTGTGCTTTGGTCTCGGTTTAGTCCTGGTTTGAACCTTGTGTAGTTCTTCTTTCTGGTTTAGGCCTTGTTTTAGTTCTAGTCTTAGCACAAGGTTTAGTCCTGCTTGGGTTCCTGTTTAGTCCTGGTTTAGTCCCAATTTAGTTCTAGTTTACTCCTTGTTAAGTTGTGGTTTAGGCCTTGTTTAGTCCTGATTATGTCCCAGCTTAGTTCTGGTTTTAGTCTTGATTTAAGGCTTGGTAAAGTCCAGGTGCAGTCCTGGTTTGGTCCCCGTTTAGTTGTGGTTTAGTCCTGGTTTGGTCCTTCTTTAGTCCTGGTTTAGTCCTGGTTTAGTCCCATCTTAAGCCTAGTTTTAGTCTTGGTTTTAGTCTTGATTTTAGGCTTGGTTTAGTGCAGATGTAGTCCTGGTTTAGTTCTTGTTTAGGCCTGGTTTTAGTCTTGGTTTTAGTCCTGATTTAGTCCAGACTTAGTCCTGTTTGGTCTCTGTTTAGTCCTTGTTTAGTTGTGGTTTAGTTCTGGTTGGGTCCTTGTTTAGTTCCAGTTTAGTCCTTGTTTAAGTCCTAGTCTTTTAGTCCTAGATTTAGCGCAAGGTTTAGTCCTGGTTTGGTGCTTGTGGAGTCCTTGTGTAGTCATTGTTTAGTTTCAGTTTAGTCCTTGTTTAAGTCCTAGTCTTTAGTCCTAGATTTTGCGCAAGGCTTAGTCCTGGTTTGGTCCCTGTTTAGTCCTGGTTTAGTCCTGGTGTAGTCCCAGATTAATCCTTCTTTAGTTGTAGTTTAATCCTGTTTAATGGATTGGTCCTTGTGTAGTCCTTATTTGGTCCTGGTTTAGTCCTTGTTTAGTAGCGGTTTAGGTTGATTTAGTCTTGATTTTAGTCTTGATTTTAGTCTTGATTTTAGTCCTGGTTTAGTTCCTGTTTAGGCCTGGTTTTAGTCTTGGTTTTAGGCTTGGTTTAGTCCTGGTTTAGTCCTGCTTTAGTCCTTGTTTAATCCTGGTTTAGTCCTTGTTTAGTCCTGGTTTAGTCCTTGTTTAGTCTTGGTTTAGTCCTTGTTTAGTCCTTGTTTAGTCCTGGTTTAGTCCTGGTTTAGTCCTTGTTTAGTCCTTGTTTAGTCCTGGTTTAGTCCTTGTTTAGTCCTGGTTTAGTCCTTGTTTAGTCCTGGTTTAGTCCTGGTTTAGTCCTGGTTTAGTCCTGGTTTAGTCCTGGTTTAGTCCTTGTTTAGTCCTTGTTTAGTCCTGGTTTAGTCCTTGTTTAGTCCTGGTTTAGTCCTTGTTTAGTCCTGGTTTAGTCCTGGTTCAGTCCTGGTTTAGTCCTTGTTTAGTCCTGGTTTAGTCCTGGTTTAGTCCTGGTTCAGTCCTGTTTTGCTGTAAGACACAAATCTGTACACAGCAGCTTCCCAGACCTGATTCGATGTGCGGTATTTCTGTTTGCAGGACTGATTGTGTTGTGATCGCGCTCTGAAGGGGGAGTGACTCAGCACAGGGTGAAAAGGGAAAGCGGCATTTAGAGGAAAAGTCTGCGGGGTCGAATAAAGTTAATTACACGGTTAAAAGCTCGAAAAGTTTAGGACCAAACTTGAGTCATTTACTTCCCTCCCCTTCGCAAACCGTCTGTCTGTTCACCGCTAACCCTGTCGTTTGTCCCTGTCCTGCCCCCTGGTGGCGGCAGGCGACATCCACTGGAGTCACACTTTGCTGCGACATCGTGCTGGGGGTGTTCTACATGGATCTCTAGCAGTTACACAGCAGCAAACATGCTCAAAAATGTGTCAAAACAGCTTAAAAACTCAAGAAAAACGGACAGATTTGTAGAGTAACAGAGCGTGAGACAGAGCAGTGCCCACAGTTAGCGTCGGTGTTCTGACCGTTTGTTTGTTTGTTTTCGGGCGCAGGTTCCGGGGGCTGTGTCAGTCCATCATCGCTCACAAACTCTTCGATTACGTGGTGCTGGTTTTCATCTTCTTGAACTGCATCACCGTCGCTCTGGAGAGGCCCCGGATCCTGCAGGGAAGTCTGGTACGACCAGTCTTCTGTCCTTTATTCTGTCCATCATTCTGTTATTCTCTCTGTTATTCTGTCCATCATTCTGTCCATCATTCTGTCCATCATTCTGTCCTTTATTCTGTCCATCATTCTGTCCATCATTCTGTCCATCATTCTGTCCATCATTCTGTCCATCATTCTGTCCTTTATTCTGTCCATCATTCTGTCCATCATTCTGTCCTTTATTCTGTCCATCATTCTGTTATTCTCTCTGTTATTCTGTCCATCATTCTGTCCTTTATTCTGTCCATCATTCTGTTATTCTCTCTGTTATTCTGTCCATCATTCTGTCCTTTATTCTGTCCATCATTCTGTTATTCTGTCCTTTATTCTGTCCTTTATTCTGTCCTTTATTCTGTTATTTATTCTGTCCATCATTCTGTCCTTTATTCTGTCCATTCATTCTGTCCATCAATTCTGTCCATCATTCTGTCCTTCATCATTCTGTCCTTTATTCTGTCCTTTATTCTGTCATTCCATCATTCTGTCCATCATTCTGTCCATCATTCTGTTGTTTTATTCTGTCCATCATTCTGTCCATCATTTCTGTTGTTTATTCTGTCCATTCTGTCCATCATCTTTATTCTGTCCATCATTCTGTCCATCATTCTGTCCTTTATTCTGTTATTTATTCTGTCCATCATTCTGTCCTTTATTCTGTCCTTTATTCTGTCCTTTATTCTGTCCTTTATTCTGTCTGTTTCTGTCCATCATTCTGTCCATTCATTCTGTCCATTTATTCTGTTGTTTATTCTGTCCATCATTCTGTCCTTTATTCTGTCCATTATTCTGTCCTTTATTCTGTCGTTTATTCTGTCCTTTATTCTGTTGTTTATTCTGTCCATCATTCTGTATGTTATTCTGTCTGTTATTTTGTCATTTATTGTGTCGTTTATTCTGTCTGTTATTCTTTTTATTCTGTCGTTTATTCTGTCGTTTATTCTGTCTGTTATTCTGTCTGTTGTTATTCTGTCTGTTTATTCTGTCTGTTATTTTCTGTCATTTATTCTGTCTTTATTATTCTGTTGTTTTTCTGTCTGTTATTTTTGTCATTTATTCTGTCATTTATTCTGTCGTTTATTCTGTCTGTTACTCTTTTTATTCTGTCTGTTATTCTTGTTTATTCTGTCATTCTGTCTGTTTTATTCTGTCTGTTATTCTGTCTGTTATTCTGTCTGTTTTATTCTGTCTGTTTATTCTGTTTTTTATTCTGTCATTTCTGTCTTTTCTGTCCATTCTGTCTTATTCTGTCATTTATTCTGTCGTTTATTCTGTCTGTTACTCTTTTTATTCTGTCTGTTATTCTGTCTGTCTTTTTATTCTGTCTGTTATTCTGTCCATGTCTATTCTGTCTGTTATTCTTCTTTATTCTTCTGTTTGTTTTATTCTGTCCATTATTTTATTATTCTGTCTCCTTCATTCTATTTGTATTCTGTTTATTCTGTTTATTCTGTTTTTCTGTCTGTTTATTCTGTTTTTATTCTGTCTGTCGTTTATCCTGTCGTTTATCGTGTCTGTTGTTCAGTCACTCTGTGTTTCGTTTTTGGAGACAGATTTAAACGACTCTCACTGTGATGTTTTTCAGGAGCGTCTCTTTCTGACCATCTCCAACTACATCTTCACCGCCATCTTTGTCGCTGAGATGACCCTCAAGGTTTGGAGCTTTAGTTTATTTTTAAAAAGTGTTTAAAAAAAAGTGACTATAAACACATTTCACACTGCGAGAGAACGCTGGCGGGTAAATACAACGAAAAAGTGCCTTTCGTTTAGACGGTGACGGTGATTTTGGGGCTTAAAAACACAAAAATCTGAAACCACCTCCAGAGTGTAAAAGTTGAACACACTCCACTGTAGTGTTTCTGTTTACACGGACCAAGACGCAAAACTCTGGTCAGATCTGCTCAGGTCACGTTTACATCAGAAACAGACAGAACACAGAAACAAACGTGGGATCATTTCAAAAAATCAACTTTTCAGAGCTTTTTACCTTCTCAGAGTGAAGTGAAGTGTGGCCTTGGATTTGTCGCTGAAGTGGTTTTTAGATTGATTCAGTGTTTTTTTTTAAACAAATTGCAGCGTATTTGTGCCTCCCTCCCACGTGACGACGAACTAAAGCTGCGACAACGATGACGCGGCAGATTCACCTGTGACGCGTTTGACGTAGCAGAAAGAACTTTACAACCCCCCCCCCCCCACCAGTGAACACGATATAATAACTTTAAACTTATCTCCTCGTGTTTATTTATACTTTACAAATCTGTAGTGTTCAGCTGATGTGGATCAGCCCGTCCGGACCTGTAGTCCACAGAACATTCTCGCTTTCCCCGCACGGAACCAATCTGGTCCCAGTCTGGTCCCAATCTGGTTCCGCTCTGGTCCCGTCTGGTCCCGCTCTGGTCCCAGTCTCAGTCCCTCTGGTCTCTGGTCCCTCTGGTCCCGCTCTGGTCCCGCTCTGGTCCCGCTCTGGTCCCAGTCTGGTCCCCCGCTCTGGTCTCTGGTCCCGTCTCGGTCCCGCTCTGGTCCCGCTCTGGTCCCGCTCTGGTCCCGCTCTGGTCCCAGTCTGGTCCCTCTGGTCCAGTCTCAGTCCCACTCTGGTTCCGCTCTGGTCCCGCTCTGGTCCCGCTCTGGTCCCGCTCTGGTCCCAGTCTCAGTCCCGCTCTGGTCCCTGCTCTGGTCCCTCTGGTCCTCTGGTCCCACTCTGGTCCCGGTCTGGTCCCTGCTCTGGTCTCTGGTCCCGGTCTCTGGTCCTGCTCTGGTCCAGTCTGGTCCGCTCTGGTCGCTCTGGTCCGTCTGGTCCCGCTCTGGTCCGCTCTGGTCCCGCTCTGGTCCCACTCTGGTCTCTGGTCCCGCTCTGGTCCCGGTCCCGCTCTGGTCCCGCTCTGGTCCGGTCTGGTCCCGGTCTCTGGTCCGCTCTGGTCCCGCTCTGGTCCCGCTCTGGTCCCGCTCTGGTCCCGCTCTGGTCCCGTCCCGCAGTCTCAGTCCGCTCTGGTCCCGCTCTGGTCCCACTCTGGTCCCGCTCTGGTCCCTCTGGTCCCAGTCTGGTCCCTGGTCCTGCTCTGGTCCACTCTGGTCCCGGTCCCATCTGGTCCCGCTCTGGTCCCGGTCTCAGTCCCGCTCTGGTCCCTCTGGTCCCGGTCCTGGTCTCTGGTCCCGCTCTGGTCCCACTCTGGTCCCAGTCTCAGTCCCGCTTGGTCCCGCTCTGGTCCCAGTCTCAGTCTGGTCCCGCTCTGGTCCCTGGTCTGGTCCCGCTCCGCTCTGGTCCGTCTGGTCCACTCTCTCTGTCCCGGTCCCACTCTGGTCCCTGGTCCGCTCTGGTCCATCTGGTCCCGGTCTCTGGTCCCGCTCTGGTCCCGCTCTGGTCCCAGTCTCAGTCCCGCTCTGGTCCCGCTCTGTCCCGCTCTGTCCCGCTCTGGTCCCACTCTGGTCCCGCTCTGGTCCCGCTCTGGTCCCGCTCTGGTCCCGCTCTGGTCCCGGTCTGGTCCCAGTCTGGTCCCAGTCTCAGTCCCGCTCTGGTCCTGGTCTGGTCCCTCTGGTCCCGCTCTGGTCCCGCTCTGGTCCCGCTCTGGTCCCAGTCTGGTCCCAAGTCTCAGTCCCGCTCTGGTCCTGCTCTGGTCTCTGGTCCCGCTCTGGTCCCGCTCTGGTCCGGTCCCTCTGGTCCCAGTCTCAGTCCCGCTCTGGTCCCGCTCTGGTCCCGGTCCCGCTCTGGTCCCGCTCTGGTCCCAGTCTGGTCGTCCTCTCTGGTCCCGCTCTGGTCCCGCTCTGGTCCATCTGCTCTGGTCCTGCTCTGGTCCTCTGGTCCTGCTCTGGTCCCAGTCTGGTCCCGGTCTGGTCCCGCTCTGGTCCCGGACCTGGATCAGTCCTGGTTCAGTCCGTACGCGGTGCAAAAGTTCGGCATCACAGTCACTGAAGTCACGTAAACGGGAAACGGTCGTTATCCGTTTTTTTCCATTCTTCATTTAAACATAAAATCGAAAACTGAAAAAACGAATCGTTATCCGTTTTTTCATTTTGGTTTTGGAGACAAATAATAAAGAAAACTGTTGTTTTTTTTTCGTTTTCTTATTTTTGGTTTTATATTGAAAAACGAATGAACGAACGACAAACAGATTATTTTACATCAGACGGGACCTTTAAATTCCCCAGTTCTTTTCTTTGGTTTTAGAAAAGTTACTGTTTTGTGAACAAGGCGTCGATCTGATAATGGTATTGGATATTAGCGCCGATACTGAAAAGTTTGCTAGATCAGATATCGGCCTCTAAATATCGGTCCAGTCGATATCCTGGTTGGACCGATAAATCGATGTAATAAGACGTTTACTGGTCGTAGTAAATAGAAAGTCTCACAGTGTTTGAGTTTTCAAGGTGCACTATGTAACTCCAGAAAAAGAAAAAGAGGTAAAGCGCTTCACTGGGTTATAAAAATAGTTAAAAAAAATAGCAGTACAGGTGCTTCCGCGATGGGTTAAAGTTTGTATGGAGGATTTTTTTTTGTTTCAAACTGTCAGTGAAAGATTAAAATACCATTACAGAGACGCAGCAGCTTTGTAATTATGATGACCAAAAAAAAAGAACGAAAATCTATCAACTGTGGACGTGTTGAGGCCAGATAAACATCAGCCAATAGAAAACGAGGCTCCCTCATTTTCTATTGGCTGTTAGGGTTGTCAATCAAACTCCCTAGTATAACTGACTCGTCGTCGGAGCGCGGGGATTACGTGGTTTACGCAGCGGTTCTTAGAGGCTTTTTCGAACTGTCGCTTCCTCGCTTTTCGCACAAAGTTTGTCGCGACGGCGGACGAGAATCCACGACCGGTTCGCCGCAAAAGAAAGTCCGTTTTTGAGGTCGCTGAAAGAAGAAGAGAAGAGGAAAAGGAGCGAAGACAAACTGAGGTGATTCTTGGAGATCTCGTCCAGCGATGATGCGACCGAAGCAGACGAAGGGTCTAAAAACTGACGCGTCGGTCGAATTACTTCTAGACAGGAAACTTCAACAGTAATTCTGAACGCGCACAAGGACTGTCGCTGTATTTCTCTTCCCTTAAAAAAATCCTCTATACAACCTTTAAAACAATAATCTTTAAACAGAAAGTTGCCCTTACTGAAAAAATGTAAAAGTGGGCGAAGTACAAACCCGAGGCACTCGAGCGAATATATCAAAAGTTCTTTACTTCACGAAAGGACGCCGACGCATTTCCACCAACAAGATGGTCTTCGTCAGGGCAAAGTGATTTACATTTTCCAGTAAGGGTAATTTTCTTTTTCTGTTTTCTGTGTAAATTGTTATTTAAGGGGCTTGAATGTTCCACGGTGCGACTTTAAACAGCTTTACGTTACTTTTATTCAATTACAGGTGGTTTTATAGCTCAAAAATACCTAGATAAACAGGTATTCTGGCTGTGGGCGGGGTCGCCTCTCCACAGATCTGACCTGTAACTTGGTCTGGTTTGGTCTCCGTGAAGATAGAAAGGTTTTCCATGCACCTTTAACACTCTGGATCAGTTTTGTCTCATTTTATTTCAGTTTAAATGAAATAAAAGCTGTTTTCAGTCTTGGTTGATGTCGAGTTTTGGCCGATACTTCCAGCCGCGGTATCGGAATCGGTATCGGAACTCAAAATACTAGATCGGTTCGTCCATAATCGTGAGTTCCAGCAGTTCCCGGAGTCTCTGTTCCGTCTGGACCTTGGGACGTGACTTTGTTTGTGTTTTTAAACCTCATTGATCTCTGCTCCTCCGGTTTCTCTCCGTCTCATTTCACTTCTGTTACTCCTCGTGAAACCCCGTGGTCCTGCTGCAATCTGAACTCTCTACAACCTTTTGTTTTGGATTACGGAGCTGCGTCTTACAACGCGCCGCGAGCTTCATGTCTGGTGGCACGGCGCCTCACAGCAACAAGGTCCCCGGTTCGATTCCTGGGCCTTTCTGTGTGGAGTTTGCCGGTTCTCCCTGTGGCTGCGCTCAAATCAAAACATGAACAGGTCAAATCCTCCAGCTAAAGTCCTGACCAAGACCAGCTCAGGGTCTGGAGATGTTTCCCACTGCTCCTGACACTGAAGGACGGGTCAAATGCAGGTTTAACCCAGAGTCTATGTGCTTTTATACTTATGATTAAGCTCAAGATTGTTTTAAAGCTGTTCAGGAAAGGTTCATTTTTGTCCTGTGAGTGTGATTTTTTTAGTATTGATTCCTGCTCAAAAGAGTTTCAGTACTATGCTGCTGAAAAAAATTAAAGAACTTTGAAAACACGTCAGATCTCAGTGTGGATATCTGTACAAAATCTGGACAGGGAAATGTCTTAGAAACAAGAGGATGCCACGTCTTTTAATGGAAATGAACGACAGGTCGACTAGAGCGGCAACAGTGAGACGACCTCTAAATGTGGACGTCTTTTCATGGTTTTCCACTCGTGCTGCTTTGGCCGCAGTGATGATCACCACTGGGAGAATGAGGTGATTCCTTCACTCTACAGAAGATGCACAGATTCTCCCACTTCTCCAGGATGCCACATGTGGACGTGCTGTTGTAAAGGAACTTGAATGTGTCTCCAGCTCAATCTCCAGAACATGGAGGAGAGTTCAGGAGACAAGCAGTTCCTCTTGGACAGGAGAGTCAAACTCAAATCCACAGAGGCCGAACTTAAAAACTGGGACTAAGT